ACAGAATCCTTCGCAACTCTGCCTAGTAGGTCATAGAAAACACGAGCTCTACGACGATGCAAAATGAATGATGCAGATTCTATCTGCCTCTCTGCTTCTGTCATATTTGGATCTGTGATTCTGAATTTGTATTTGGCACAATCAGAACATGCATCAGTTGCTGGGTGGCCGAAGCCAAGATTGAAATTTTTGGCAAAAACAGAGTAGTAGAGGGAGTAGCTTGTGTGTGCGTGGTTTAGAGCCTCAAAGAGCCCATGCATCCTGCGCACACTGAGGTCAGCTGGCAGATACCTGCGCCCAGGTGCTCCCCTCCGCCCATAGTGGCTGGCCCTGCACGTGAAGGTCTTGATGTGATTTATGATCAGTTGCCTTCTACTGTCGTTCCCCTCGATGTTTCTCGCACCACCTCTTCTCTCCGGACGAGCCTCTGCAGTCTCAGCATAATACCGGGCAACCCGGGAGGCCCGGTCTTTGCTGATTCCTGTGGTAAAGTGAAGGTAAATTAATGAATTAGATCGATTCAATGTAAAACCAACATGCATACACATCATTACACACACTATACACATAGTCCAGTACAGAATCAACTTAAAACACTTCTTTTGATCAGTGTTGTTTTCGTCAACGATGACGATAACGAAATGATTTCGTTGACGCACTTTTTTTTATGACGATAACGCGACGATGACTAGCTAAAAATGTCTCTAAGGTGACTAAAACATGACGAGACGTTTTCGAGTTTTCGTTGACAAGACGAGACGGAACGAAAATGATTATAAGTCTGACGTTCACAATCACAAGCATGTCATTTCCGCCTATTTTGCGTGAAATCTGTCTGTTTTGAGCTAAAAAAAAGTATCAGCAATGCTGCCGCTTCCTTGTTTTGGGTAGGCTACCCATGCCGCCGCGCGCACCAGATTCCACACAACACACCTGCGGCTAGTCACTCACCACACATCTTCGAAGGACCACGGCAGCGATCGAAGCCAATAGACGGGCATGGTGGTCGGAAATGACGAGATGATTTATGGACATACTTTCAGTTTCAGTATAATCCAGCGGTTCTCAAAGTGTGGGGCGCGCCCCACTGCCGTGACAGGTCTCCTCCAAACGGGAGGAAATTTTCCGTTTTATGCCTTTGTATCTTTATTCGCTCATGGCGTCCGCATCGTCAACTTCATCTTTGCTGCGACACCGAAAACTCCAGTTTATTAATAAACAATTAAATGTCTCCTTGCTATTTTTTTACACATTCATAATCATTACTTTTGCCGGTTATTTGTGGCAAGCTTTATGCGTGCGGTCGTGCGCTCGAGTGCGGCTATAACGCTCATTATCCTGTATAGCCTATTTAAGTAATTAAATTAATATAAAGGGGCGATTTGTCCACTAATGGCTTAAATGAACAACTACTAGTCGACTAGAATAAAAACTTTAGTCGGAGGCAGCCCTTATTCCACATATTCTCGAACCAGCAGGCCATTCTGGGTTGAGCGCGCGAGCCTGAGCTGAATGAGCGAGCGGAGGGATATTCAGAAATGCGCTCTCCGCTCACATGCTCTGATCGGAATAAAGGAATATTACAATAATTAATCATTAGTTTATATCTTATACACTGCCCATACACTACCCATCATTTTAATCCCATATCAAACACAGTATGTTATGTCTATTTTATCTATTTAAAAAAAAAAAATACGTTTTTATGTATAGGCTAAAGGCAGAGAGCTGTGTGCATTCTTCTTCCCTTTGCCACATCATATCTCTGTGAGATGGGCTTTTCAGCTTCACTGAAAACAAAGTATAGATCTCAGCTGAACATTGAGCATGACTTTTGAGAAATTGAGCAATGCAAAACAGGCTCATTGCAGCCACTAATGCAGGGATAAATAGACCTGTCTTGCCAAATGGATTTCTATTCTTTTCTCTTTTTTTAACAGATTGCAAAGTGGCACTTTTATTTCTTTTCCATTTTTGAACTTGATACAAATTGACACAGCTGCACTTTTATTTTCTCTATTTTTTAAAGACTAATTTTTTTTTTTTTACTAAAACTTGACTAAAACCTTTTTTTGTTTTCGTCGACTAATACTTGACTAAAACTATTAAGTTTATAAGTGACTAAAATGTGACTAAAACTAAAAAGCATTTTCGTCCAAAAGACTAAGACTAAAACTAAAAGGGCTGCCAAAAACAACACTGGTCTAGAAATGGCTTTAGCCATCCACTACACAAATAAAGGGTTGTGTATCATAATTACTTTTCTCTGATAAGTAGCCAAAAAACAATCCTTCTAATAGTATAAAACATGACGCCCATCAGTGTAACTACAAAGGAAAATCACATACAAAACGGATTTCAACTATTCCAAACATGAAAACTTTACTCACCCAAAACTGACAGGAATGTGGCCTTGCAAACTGGCAATTTGTTGGGGTGCTCATCCCACAGCAGGCTGTATTTCACGGTGACATTCCTCCCCTTCTGTCGGTTTTCGTCGTTCTGACGCTGCCGTTTTACCTCAGATACGCTCATCAGGTGAAGAAGTGCCGCGTCCTGATCCACCTTATTAGGTTTGTCATGAAACTTCTGAAAATTCATGACAAGGTCATCGGGTGTCAATCTATCTGCTTGGCAAAAGCATTTAGCTGAGGTGTGTTTACATCCAATGGTGGGGATCCGTCCTCCACCAGAGTAGCGCATCTTCTTAGTTTGTTGACGTTCGTGGTTGTCTTCGTTTAAACGCCGTCGTCTTCCACCTGGCGCGGGCTTAACAGCTTCTTCGGACCCATCAAAAGTGTTTATCACAGTCAACACATTCATTTTTCCGACGTATTTAATTCACACTGACGATGTTTACCTCACGCCTCACGTACACCTCACGCATGACAGCTATTCGAAGACTCCGATTGGCCGAGAGAATATATCGCACTTTGACTCGAAACGAGTGTAGCGGCTGTCGCGGTTTGGAGTAAAACGACACCATTCAGTACAATTTAAACAGGGATATGTAGCGATTTGGTTAGAAACATTTATGGAGCAGTGAGTAGGCTCGGTATACAACAGAATGACGTGACAAACTCATTTTTTTTTAAATGGCGTTTATCGCGTTTTGGAAAAGAGCTCTTCAAATACAACGTTTGATTTTCAATCAGACCAACAGTACTGTAGTTAGAGCCAATTTCATGTTTTGTTCAATTATAGCGCCACCAAGTGACATGACACTGCATAGAGAATGATCTACTGTTTGCATTTCCAGTATATTAAATATAAAATATATAAAATATATACACTGAAAAGGGTGTAGGATTGTTAACATCTGCGCATGGTCATCGACATGTAAGCCAATTGCTAAAACTATGCTAGAGCATATGGGATTCTAAAGCAGGAGTTAGCGGCTTCATTTCATGCAGTTTATTAACAATAGCATGCTCTTGTCTTTAGCCTCCACACTCTGGGGTCACTTTATCACTTTCCTGAGTTCATTTTCATCCTGATTATCCCTGTTATTCCGTATTCAGACTCGGTAATGTTTCATCCAGCACCTGCTAAATCCATGAATATCTGCTCCCCATGCAAGAGTCAAGAGTTCATTATTGTAAATTAAGCAGCAGCCCATGTTGGCAGGATTTGATGCCTTTTTCCAGCCTGGCAGTAGACTATTTAGCAGATGGCGCTGAGAGCATTTTCTTTGGCAGCTGCTGAGGAATGCAACAGTTTTCAAATATTAGCTTGATTACAAAAGAATTATAATATCTTTGACTTTCGTCACAGATTAAAATGAGTTGAACTTGCACCCAGAGGCCTATAGCCACTTGTCTAGTCTTAAATGTTTAAGTTCCTCCCTCTTGGAAAAAAACACCTGCTGGTTTAAGTGTCTCTGTTGGGCACTTGTTATCTGATCAGACTGGACCAGAGACCAGCCAGATGACCAGTAAACCACTATTTGTCTAAATACTAGTTTGGTTTGTTAGGGAAACCAACTAAACCATCTGGATTCAGATTATTTTTGCTAGAGATAAATGACACTAATGAAATCATTATTGAAAGATTGACAACCCAATGTGTAATAAGTGATAAATTCGTCTTTTTTTTCCTTTTGATATTGCGGTAACAATTTTGACGTTTTACAAAATAACTCTTGGTGTAAGAACTTTTTAGATTAAAATATTTCCTGAGAGAGCACACATACCTTTTCAGTGCTTCAGATTTTATTAGAGAGGGAAAGTGACATCATTTCCTGTATCTTACATAGTTGTGGGAGATAATGCATATTTATGCCTGTACAGTAGAGGGCGCCGCTCAAATAAACCTTTCAGCTGTGCTGCCATTCTGTATTTAAGAACTATAGGATACAGGAGAGGGAAGTTCAACACTCTTATTTCTAAATCTAACCTAAAGTAATGTTTGCTTATTAATAAGGTTGAATTAGGTCATTGAAGGTCAGCAGCAAAGACGTTGGTTAATAAAGTAAGATTAAATCCATAAAGTATATTTGTGTGATTTAATATAGTTTATTATAAAGGTTTTCCGTAAGATTCTGGGATAGGTCCCAAGGTACAAGCCTTGAAAAATGTATAATACAGAATTTTTTATCGCTTCCGCGTGAACCAGAATTATCCCGACAACGTTTTATTTGTACAGAGGTAAAGGGAAGGAGGCCTTCACAGGGGAGAGACTAGTTGTAGGCTAGGACTGTGTTGTCGTCGTGTCCAGGCGCTGGTCCTTCATCAGAGCCGGATACGGCCTGGATCCGGGGGACTGCGGTAAACCTAGGGATAACCGCATGATTGCCGTGATTATCAATCACGCTCCATTCTCACGGCCCCCGGCCTCGTCCTGCTTACCACAACCCCAAATGTACCTGCAATTATAGAATCACCCAAAAGTAATCCTGCTTTGCCTACGTAGTGTCTGAATGTGCCACTTTTCTTTGCATCCCTACATACCTAGAATTGCATTATTAATCTTGACTCCCTGTGTGTTTCTGGTTGATCTAGGTGTCCTAACAGCGGGAGGGGTTCCTGGAGTGCTACGAGACGAGGCCTCTTGCTGCTTCGCCCACCTGCTGTAGATACTTGCTATGTCTCATCGGCTTAACACCTGCCTCTGCCTACCTGTCTGAGTCTCTGCTTTGTAAATGGGCAGCACCCCCTTGTGCCACGGAGAACACACTGTACGTTCACAAAGCGCCTCACAGACATTAGGAGCCTTGAGGACTTTAAGAGCGCAGCACGGGACAATGAGGCGCCTATCCTGTCTGAGACTGAATCAGACACAGGCTTTATGGGACTCCACCAGCGGTTCCGACCCAATCTGAGACTGTGAACTGCTCTGTGAAACGGCTTTCTGCTGGAGTACGTTTTTGGCGCTCATTTTTTACTGACCAAAGAGGAACAATTATACACAACAAACAAAAAAACATTGACTATGTGAGCACGGACTGAGGGAAAGACTCAAAAGGAACAATTTTGGCAAAGAAAAAATCAATATATATAAACCTAAATGTAGAGAGAGAGAGAGATAGATATAGATATAGAAAGACTTTGCTATGACGCAGTGGTCTACAAATGGAAACACTGACGTGGAACATTGAAACGACATCGGGTCGAACATTCCCATTTATCACAATCCAAGGAGAACCTTTAATACTTTACAGATTCCCTTGAACCGAACCAAGCACTGTATTCCAAGGACAACAAGGATATAGATACTGTACACATAAACGCATCAAGAAATTTAATTAGCATTTTTCAGTAGCAACATTTTGGACAGTTTGCATTAAACATAGAAGGTTAAATGGAAGAGTACCCCATTGCTTATCATCAGAAAATATTAAAAAAGAACATAAAAACTGTAATTTCTGTTTACCAGGAGTGAGATGTCATTATATGTATTTTGAAAAGGCCTACGAGTTATATATTTAACAGTTTTATATGTTGTACCTTTGTAGAGAATCTTATTTAACATGAATAACGTTGTGGAAATGACAGATGTAGAATGTGGGTAATGCTCTGCTCCATAACGCAGTCCAGTCTTATAAAGTTCAAACTCAAGTAGCAATTTTCCTTTCACAGGTTCGAAAACAGGACTACGAGAACATTAAGTAAAGAAGAAAACGGACAAAATGCAAAGGAAAGAATTGATTAATTGCAGAAAAGCAAACATGGAATCTACTTTTAGCTTTTGTATTGTAAAGGGTCGGAGAAAAGCTCTTGTATTCGGCTTTTCTGAGATTGATTTTTGTGCTTGTGTTTGTTTGCACAGTGCTCACCTCCAAGTCTTGACACCTCCAGAGACAGTTCAGAAAGTCTTAGATTCATTTACATTAAATACTTTTTTATTATGAACTATTTTAAGAATAAATTAAAAAAGTGAAAATATCAAGTTGCTAAAACAAAATTGTAATATCATGATGTTTTTGGTAGTTTCTTTCTCCTTTTAAAATGATATACCAGGTTTGACGGAGATATGTACATTTGGAGGTACGCATGATGAATCGATTTATATTTGGGAGGAAATGAGACTGAGGGGTGAATTCACTAAAAAGCGCATAATCTTTATTTAAGCACATTTTTTTTTGTGTATATTTTATTTTTTTATTCACTTAGCACCTGCAATCCAGTTTAACCAGAAGCTTAATGCAATGAAATAGTGATAATAATAATAATAATAATAATTTCATTTTCATTCTTTTCAGCACAAAAACACTTTTTTCTATGCAAATTCGACTTCTTTTAGATTCCACCTCATTCAGAAAAAAAACAGCGTTCTTTTGATAGCATAAATAGCATTTAGTTACACAATTATTATTATTATTATTATTTATTATTAAATGTCTGTGTAAATTTTATGTTGATCATGGCAGCAGTAATATATGGAGAAGAGTGTTATAACCAAGCATATATCAAGAAATGATGTGTAGACAAGCACACTTTATGCATTAATAGAGACAAGTTGCGCCTGGATTGAAGAGGTGGAGTGGTTCTGTAGAGTCCCAGAATTGTATACTAGATAGTGGTAGTCATCTGCAACTTCCACAACCTACAATTATGGAGGATCAAATAACTGAAAATTCTATAAATAATGAATTCAATAAAACAACAATTAAATGTACCAGTTTATTCTGAAATAATTAAATAATTAATTTAATTAATTATGAATTAAATCAATCAATAAATGAATGTATCTATTTATTTAGCAAAATTCCATGAAAACACAACAATTATTGTTTGATATATTTCACAATATCCTCTTTCACATAATTTTACTGTTTAAAAAAATTTCCATAATAAAATGTGCTTTTTCAAAAAGCAGTTTTTCATAATAATATGCTGAATTTACGAATGATGCCTTTTTGACGAATCATGTATTTCCAAACCACGATTTTCCCAAAGATTTTTTACATTATAATAGAGGACATTTCACAAATGCAAGTCAACAGGCAGTGAGCGGTGCAAGTGCACTTAGGGCGTGTCCGAATCCACTTTTGCTAGTTTAAAGACGGGGAAAAGGGTTGGCGCTCCCGGCGCATGGTCTAAAAGGGTTGTCCCTATTCTCTTAATAAATAATGGGTGTGTTTTGGGCGTAACGTGCAATAAACCAATCAGAGTCTCATCTCCCATTCCTTTTAAAAGCCAGTTGCGTTCGCGTAAATATTTACATGGCGGAATTTGCGAGCGGAAAGACTGAATGCTTCTCTAACGAGGAAACGAAACCATCTATGTGCCATCTATGGCATTACTAACGCGCTGTTCAAATAACAAAAAAAAAAAGACTGTGCCATTGACTTTTGACCAGGTTTCAGTTGGTCAATGGCACAGTCTATTTCAGTTGCCTCAAAATAGCAACACGCCAACAATTCGCCTAAACACACCTCGTTTTCAGAACAGCACGCACATGGGCGCACAAATGGGCGCAAATGCATTTGCTGTTTAAACAACGTGGTGCTGGACGTGAAAATGATAACTGCGTCGGGCTGAAACTAGCAAAAAACACTTGCATCGTGCCTGGCGCCGCATTGCGCCACGTTTATGATAGGGCCCTTTGTGTAGTTGGTGACATTAGTCACGGAACGCCGATTCACAGTTTTCTCATGTACTTAAAGCATGACGAATAACTGAGACAATATCTGATGTTCTTGCGTGAATGTCTCGGGCTACAGCGAGGACATTGAAGGAAAAGCGCTAGTCAAAGTATACGTTATATAATATACTACTAAATGTCTTACCAAAGTCCATTGAGCTCCATTCTTTGAATTGTGCTTATGGACACACCAAGCAAATTGGCAATTTTATTTAGCTCTAAATCCCGCATTCACATATCTCCGGATTGAATCTACTGGAGCATCTAGACACGGTCTTCCAAGCACGTTCTCGCATACTCATCTACAAGAACTCTGTGTTCAATCGCTTGTAAAGTGTTTCATGTGTAGTCATCCATTTCTAGATCCTCTGACGCACTTGTCACCACTAGCAGATCCTTTATGTCATCTAATCCAGATAATTGTTCGTTTCCAATCTTTCAATTCACCTCAACACTCGCCAGACCTAAGCAAAATCTGAAAGGATTAGCCAATCAGCACCGCCCACTGGTTGTTGATTGGCATTTGTGAAATGTCCTCTATTGTTATGAAAAAAAATCTTTGGGAAAATCGTGCTTTGGTCTGATTCATGATTCATCAAATAGGCGTCATTCGTAAATTCAGCATATTATAATGAAAAACGGCTTTTTGAAAAAGTACATTTTATTATGAAAAATGTTATTTTTAAAAACAGTAATAGTGGGAGAAGGAGGATATTGTGAAATATATTAAACAATAAATGATGTGTTTTCATGGAATTTTAATAAATAAATCATTTATTTATTTATTGAATCATTAATTAAATTAATTATTTAATAATTATTTACATATTTCAGAATAAACATAAATGTAATTGTTGTTTTAGTGAATTCATTATTTATTTAATTATTTAATTTTGAGTAAGTTGGTCCTATAGAACTGGCCTGCAAGATGGGAATTGGCATTTAAATGACATTTTTGGGACTTTTTTTGGGGGGGGTTTGCATAATTCCCTTGCTAAAACAACAGACAAAATAAGATACGCTATTTGAAGGCACAATTCATTCTTAGTGAATTCCCCCTTGAATGTTTCATGAACACAGTAATACTTAAATTCGATGTTTAATTGATTTTATATTTAGCTTGTAAAGGGGAAGAAGAAAAAAAAAACTACACTCTATACACTCTATACAGCAATAACAAAAAGTACCATGGTATTACCATGTTTCTTGGATTTATACCATGGCATATGTAAGACTAAGAGCATCACTTAATAAATATCAATTATTAATAAATGATTAATTAAAAATATTTAACTTAATTAAAATAATTACATTAAATGTCATTTAAATGTTTTTAAAATCATACATTTATATGTTTCCATTTAACTACATTTTCAAATTGAATTGTAACAAACTACCTTATTAGTTCAAAGTAGTTTTATTCAAATGAATTTACAAATGTTTTTTTTTATTATTATTTACATTTAAAGTTTCATAATGATTGGTTTATTTTGTATTGTTCCATTTTCAACTACATTGACAAACATAATATTTCTATTAGTTTAAATTTCTATTAAGTACGGTCAACTTTTATCTTACAGCATTTATTAATCTAGGTTAATATTAACTTTGATGTTGGCTTAAAAAATCATGAATAGAAAGTTTAAAGTTTTACAAATATAGCATTACCAATATATAAATATACAGATATACATTGTTCATTGTTAATTCTTGTTTAGCTAATGTTCATTTCTAAAACTTGAAAGATAATAGGATTAATATTAACCTAAATTAATAAATGCTGTAAAAGTATTATTGCCTGTTAGTTCATGAGACCTAATGCATTAACTAATGTTAATCATTTGAGTTTTATTTCTTTCAGTGGCACTCCGATTCCTTAGCACATGTAAATACCGTAATATCAAATTAACATGGTATTAACATACAGTATCTTGACTTTGCCTTGGTACCACCACTGTACTTATGGTAGGAGAGATTTTTAAATGAATGGACATGCCATTATATCTGAGACACCCATGCATAAACATGTTCTTACCATTCTAGCACTTCTGCTGGCTAATACAACAGAAACAAGAGACAGCTGCATTCATATATAAAATATTTGTTTTCATTTAAGACATTTCATTGAATGACATATTCAATGCAACAGATTCTACAATCCGTACATACAGTACATTGTTCAAAGTTCTCACAAATACATGAAATACAAACATATCCTGTAAAAGTTCTCTGATTATGAAATACAAGCGGATTTGTCCCTCCTGCTGTCAGTGATGATAGCAACAATAACTTTTCTTTCAATAATCTGGTGATTTTCGAGTGTCAGCAATGAAATAATATCATCGGTGCTTGAGTGTATGGAGGATTTGACTGATGCTTTTTACAGCAATATTTGCTGGGTCATTCCTATTATGCAGTACATTTTAATGTCCCCATCATACGTCTTATTATCATTATATCATCTTAATATATTGGTTAAAATATTAAATGTACATATTTTAAAGATCAATCATTTTGATAGAAATCATATTTTCAGTTTTTTTTTCTTAAAAAAAACCCAAATAGCACAGTTAATGTCATGAGGCTGTGTTGCATAAGCCAAAGAAGATGTGTGATGCAGAGCGACAGAAAAAAGGGATATTTTAATGAACACAGAGTGATTCAAAGTACACAACACAACTACCATTAACAACGGTGAACAAAGAACTGAGAAAACTGAGGGCTTATATGAGATGACAATCAACAGAACAAGAAACAGGTGCGTAATTAATTAGAAACTATGGTAACAAACAAGGAATGAAAATTCCGACAGATAGAAACCATGACAAAGAAAGCAAAACTAAACAGAATATGACAATGAAACTAAGCACGACATGATCATGACATTTCAGTGAACTTTTAATTATTTTATAATTAAATACAATTTATTATTTCCCTAATAAATTGCAAGTGACAATTTATTAAAGGAAAATATTCCAAGTGTTTATTTATTTCCTTGTTGAAAAGCTACGAGGAATGTTTTCTTGGAAAATCTGCAATTCTTATATTTTTCCTGTGTGCTCTTTTTCATAATCCCTTTAACCAACAAAAACGGGTCTACTGTTTTTAATTACATTTACAATTATTAATTACATCATTCTCCCTCTAATTTGTCATGGGTTCCCTCTGGATTTTTCTTTGGATTTATAGAATGGTGATTTTTGGTTTATGATTTAAAAACTTGTTCACATTTAGTTTTTCAACATCTACAATTAGTCCATGGGCCAGACCAGATATTGGTACCATCTGGGTGGGCAAAACCTTACCTATACTAAATTGTTTATGGGGTTAATATAAGTTAATTATAATATGATAACCTTTCCACAGGCCCAGCTTTTTATACTTTTTTTTAGAATTAGTAATTTTCCTACTTTTATGTATTAGAATTATTTTTGAAAAATACACAAACATCCAATACCGTAATAACAGTGATCTAATATTAATCCCAAGCAAATTAAAATATTTTGTAAATATTAGGCATAATAAAGTCGATATCTTTGAATTCACATTTT